GTCACTCACTGCAGTGAGTACTGAGTTATATTTTTTTATAGTAAATTCACTCAACCCAATTAAAATGGTGTGAAATTACAAACCGTCCTGTGAGCTTACAGATACAGAAAAAATGCTATAAGGCTGCTGATATGAAGCTTGCAGTGGACAAGGTTGTTGTAAATGATGGCCAAAGTCACTCTGGCGTTTATGACCTTGTTTACGACCCTGGCGTTTATGACCCCGTTTTTGTTTTCAAAACAAAATCTAAAACACAGCCAAAGTCACCCCAGTTGATGGTAATTAATGTTTATGGTAATATCATCAATAAAGGAAAAACAAGTAAAAATCACTGAAAATGTCATTTATTCTACCTCTACATCATCTACAATGAAAGAGGAGGACTTCAGAGTACTGTTAGTAATGGATGAGTAGTTTTATTGAGTACACTCTGCAATTCAGTGTGGAATTCTAAAGGGATATTAAATTAACCAGTACACATAGCATATTGGAAAGCAGGACCTGAAAGCTTGGAAAGGCCAGGAACTTTCCACTTTCAGTCCATTATATTATATACATTATACATATCCTATCACTTTTCAGCTGTGATTGGTTGATGGGATTGTGATTTTAGCCCCTTCCAGCTTTCCACTTTACAGCTGTGATTGGTTGATGGGATTGTGATTTTAGCCCCTTCCAGCTTTCCAGCTGTGATTGGTTAATGTAATTGTAATGTTATCTGCTTTCTAGCTGTGATTGGTTGATGGGGATGCTTTCAAGCTGTGATTGGTTGATGGGGATGCTTTCAAGCTGTGATTGGTTGATGGGGATGCTTTCAAGCTGAAGGTACTATACAATAGAAACAGTTTGTCCACTTTTGATCCTCCTTTTCATTTATAGTCACTCACCTGACAGACTGCAGAGCACTGTATCTAGGGAAAGCATTCCACCTTGAGTGGAAAGCTTTTTTATAAGTGAACCTCCATTTCTAGAATTCCACCCTGCTCTGCATGCTTCAACTATTTTAAAATTAAGTTATATGGCAAGTGTCCTTGTGAACGAGGAACATCGTTCACTAATTTATTCAATGTGCATTTTCTTGTGACAAAAATTATTCTATTATGTCTGGCAAAGCCGCGCCAGTGACATGTGAGTCAGACCTACAGCAGTTGAAAGTTGAAACTACATAGTACAAGATCAGGTTTGAGTGGCTGTGCGTCAGGTAGTTAGTCGTGTCCCGCCAGCCCTACAGTGAGGTTCATACCTGAACCCGCTCAGCTCTGTTAACTCTCGGCATTCTTTGCTTAACGCTGGAGTTGTGGCTGTGCCGTGAGGATTTAGTCTTACCTGCTATCATTTGCCTAGGCGAATTAATGTAACCTTAACTACGTGCATTAATGCTGTGCAATAGCAAATAGAATTGAACGTCTCTCATAATAGTTATTTTAGTCGGAATTTGTGCTTCCTCTTTACCATGTTTTACTGATTTTAAACAAAGTGATTCAATAAACTATTTCAAGTGTGCTTTGTCGTGATTATATTCCATAGCCACTGAACCGCTTAACTGACGATGACTAGGAGAGTTGAACGGCATCGTAGGTTAGATGAATGAGCACAGTAGCCTGGAATTTATTCATATATTGTCCTGGCCTATGAGCGGTGAGCATTCGATCCTGATTGTGAATTACAGGCCTAACGTTTAGATTGGCTTGTAGTAGCTCTGGCCGGTGACATCCTGAGTAGCCCCGTTCAATGGGGCTACTCAGGACACTCTTTTTTTTTTGCTTCTGGCACCTTAGGAATAGCATATGGATTTTTTTGATGATGCCATTCGATAGCCCTCACAAAGAGCTATAAAATGAGCCTAAACTTGTTTATGAAATGCTTCATCGTAAGAAGTTATTAACAGTTATTAACAAAAAAATGCTCAAAACTGTCCCGAGTAGCCCCGGTTGACGATATATATATATATATAATACATATATATAATACAAATATTTCTATTGAAAGTCAGTCATCAGTTACTTACAAGGCATTAACATTACATCACTATTTCGCAGAAATGTCAACAAAACTTTACTTCAGTTTCATGGATGGGCCAATTTGGAATGTTGGCTGAACTGACTGATAATGACTGGTACAAATATGTATGTCAAACTGCGCAGCATGTAACCAATGGCTGGAATTTGCGCCGACTCCTGTGCGAAGAGAAAATATTTAGATTTTGCGCAAACTGCGCCGACCATTAGGTTAAAAAACTCCTTATCCATGAGAAAATTCCCCAAAAACCCCAATTCCCTTGAGTGTGGTCCACTGTGTGGAAAGTGGGTGAATATGGCAAGATCTTTGGTGATGCTTCTGCAGCTAAATTTACGCCTTCAGATGATCTTGCCAACACATTTGGATTGAAATTATTGCATTTAAGATATTTGCCAGTCTTTGGCCAACTATTTAGAAAAAAATAAGGTTTCCGATACATTGGATGGATCAGGATGCAGTGAAGCTTATCCAGAAATCAGTTGTAATGAGTTCCTGCCAAAATATACTGCAAAATGTAAACAAGTAGTTGCGGTCACATCATAGTGGTCAGACTGCATTATCACATGTTCAAATGTCACTTGAGTGAAGACAAATGTTGCTGTACAATCTTACTGTTTTAGGGTAAATTAGTTATTTGGGGTAATACGTGCATGTGACCTTGCAAATCAGTTTGTGGCTTGTAAATGGCTTTTCATTACCCGGCTTAAATGGCTTTTCTTTAAAAATTACCCGGCGACGATTTTGAAAATGGTTGGTGACGCTTTTGGCTTAGAAACCCACATATTGGCAACACTGCTTGCGCCCTCTGCACCCTGGAGTGTGGTATGCACATATGCAAAGTTTGGTCTTTGTGTTGCCTAGGTGTGAAATATATCTACTTTCTAATCTACAACCATACCACCTGCAAATGGGGTAATAAGGGACAATTTGAGCATTTTTTGTTGATAACTTTTTGACATGAAACATTTCATGAATGAGTTTGGGCTTATTTTAACCCTTTCACGGGTAAGTTACCATATATGGTCACTTAAAATCGCGTCACAAAAAGCCTCACCACGGCTTCCTGTTTGTTTTTGAGGCATCCTTATAATGCCTCAGTCAATCCCTAATTATCTGACCATCATTCTATCTATAGCATCACCAGCTGCAAAGTCCACAAATTGAAATATGAGCATTTAAATGAAGGTTTTGACTCGGACAATGGAATTGACGCTCTTTCCGCATTTTTCTTAATAACGTGGAAGTATCGATATATATATTTATTTATTTTGGCAACTCGATTAAATTTAATTAAATTAAATTTTTATGCTTCTAATTTTTCATTTGTATAAACTGAATTTTGATTATAAAGAAAAATTTTGTTTACTGATCGCATTTATTGAATTCTTCAAGTGCAATTTAAACCTTCAATAGGCAAAATTTGCAAAATACATAGAAATAAATATATTGTATAATACTTCTTACTTTCTTGAAATGGTTTCTGAAATTTTAATTTCTGGATATTTCAATGCTTGCCTGCTAAAGGGTTAAGTTCNAACGGGGTAATTTGGGACACTAAATCTTAATTTCAAAACATTTGGAGCCTGCTGAGTGTACTTAATCATTACTAAAAGTACCCCAAGGTCCTCTTCTTCCTTTGTTGATGATGTAAATGTAGAATAAATTACATTTTATGTGATTTGTACATGCTGTTCTTTATTGATATGATATTACCATATCCCCCATAGTACATTTCAGTATTATTGATGTGATATTACCATATCCATGGACATGCCATTGAGCATTGACACTTACCTTGTCCACTGCAATCTTCATATCAGACAGCAGCCATATAGCATATCTTCTGTAGTATCTGTAAGCTTACAGGATTGGGCTTGTAATTTTGCACCATTTTAATTGGGTGATTTGGGCCAAGTAAATTCAGTATAACAAAAAAAGATTGTGAAAAACATACCTGAAAAAGAAAGAAATATTTTAGTGACAATCATAATATTTTTTTGAGAAATAAATCTTTGTTTTGGTCAACTACTTTTCATTCCATGAAGCCCGGTTGTCAAATTCGTCTATGACATTCGATGTACAATTTCATCTATGACATTCTATGCATAATTTTTTGATGACTGATGATGCATTAATTTTTGGTTAAGTGAATTTTTTTTTGATGAGTGACATAAATTTAATCAGAATTCTTGGTTTTTAATCAATTTTTTTGTTAACTGGAGCCCTTGCTAACTGAGGTTCTACTGCAAATGCATTTTTAGAAATGTCTTGTATCACCCCTGGGGGGTTGTCCCTAAATACCCCGTCATTTGGAAATTGTTGCCAATTTCTTTTGGATTGAGTTGAAAAAAATTCCGTCAAGTAAGTTTTAAAAGCCAATACCTGTCTGCAACATTTTTGATCAAAAATTTTCAATACAGCAAATATTTTTTTACTACAGACCTAGGTAAACAGAAGTAGGTACATTTGTGAAATAAAATTTTTCAACATTTTTTTTCTGGGAATTTTTTTAGATCTAGTAAATGTATGATTTCTTAATTTCCTAAATGATACATATAGATAAGAAAAATGTTGAAGTTTACTATCCCACTATTTTAGGTTTTGCAATATTTCAATTAGTTTTGTTGTTGCAATAACATTTTTATGCCAAAATGGAGGACTGTCCTGATTTAACCTGCTCATCCCTTATTATCCTGTTTGACGGTAGCTTTCCTGCTATTTATGGAGCTCCTATCTAATTGTTAATAAAAGTGTATAATTGGGCTTGGAGATTTTAAGTGTATTGAAATTTTGTCACTTTGGAGCTGCAAAATTTTACTCATAGGTGGGGAAATTACGATAGTGGTGTTGCCAAGATGTCATTTAGGCCCATTAATATTAAAGATCTGTCACCAAAACTTCCTCAACCTTTAAGATTAAAATGCAATTTTTTTGCATTCTAGTTTTAACTGGTGCATTAAACATTTTTTCAATGATTGCAGGTTTTTCTGTATAGATATCAAAAGTTTTTGTTATTTCATAGCAATATAAAAAGAGCCATAATGTTGGAACAGCAATGGGCTGGCCCGCCTCCTATGGCTGCTCAGCCAATGGGAATCCAGTCTACTGCAGGTGCAGTGCCGGTTGTCAATGAAAAAGGTAAATATTATTTGTAAAAAAATTTTATATATTGCTCAGTGCAAAATAATTTCTTGCACTGAATTGGATCTAGGTAGAGCTAATAATCCACTGTTATGAAATAATTAAACAATTCATTTGATAAGATGTTGATAATTTTGTTGGTTTCAGCTGTAGTATTATTTCTTCTTGAATTAATTGACAGTCACTCTTACAGAGTTTCTTGCTTCTTATAGTTTTATCTTTGATTCACAATTATAAAATGTGCCATGTTGCTGATATAACTAAAAAATTTTTAGTTCCTTGCAATTGAATTCTTGTGCCTCCTCCAGGTGAGGTGTCTATGAAGAAAGTGAAAGTACAGCGTTATGTGAGCGGCAAGCGTCCTGAGTATGCTCCAGCCTCCTCTGATGAAGAAGAAGAAGATGAGGATGACTTCACTGCTCCTAAAACTGCCAGTCTTCAGCAACAGGCTATTGGCTCCCCTAAACATTCTCAGGTGCTTTTAATTAATTCTCTGCTACATTGATACGTAATTACAGTTTTTCATTATTTCACTCAAGCCTGAGTTCAAGTTTTTTATTGTTCCTTGAATGAATTGCGTATAACAAACGCTCTAATGCATGTAAAAAATGAATACTCAATAATGTTCATGCACCTGAAAGTATCGCGTGCAATTATGTAAGCTGTCCTGAGGTATTTGTCTGTTTCTGAGGTGCTACACAGAATTCAAATTTTGTATTTCCCTTGCCTTGTATTGTTTCTAATTGACATAAACATAAGAAACTTTATTTCTGTGATATGTATATATTATTTGGAAAGTAGAAATTTATTAATCTGACCAAAAATTTTCTGAGTTACGATACAGTACCATACTCCGGATAAAAAACATTGTGATGAAGAAAAATATTTTTTAGACTTGTCTCAAGAATTCTCTAGGTTTACAGTATGAATCGTTGTCAGCTTTTAAGAGAATTTTTATTCTCCTTTGTTGATGAATTTTTTTGACTCAGGTGGAGCTCACTGAAACTGAACTATCTGATCCAAGGCTCCGCAGACTTCTGTCTCGACAAGTGTCTGGCCCTCCCCGGCGGATAGAGCAGGTAATATTGAGGTCATCACTCCTGGCTCTCCTTGGCAGGAAGTGCAGGTAACATTGATCTCATCATTCTTGATCCTCAATCTCACAAGCAGATTGAACAGGTAATTGATATTGAAGCATTCATTCCCAGTCCCCCCGGCAGATAAAACAGGAAACCTTTATCTCATCATTCCTGGCCCTCCCCGGTGGATAAAACGGGTAACATCAAACTGTTCATTAGTGGTGCATCCTGCGAAACACATATATCTCTTTGAAGTAACAAGTACTGTAGTACAGTATATAATGTAGTTATTAATACAGTAATAATGATCTCCACTTATTCTCTAAGTATATTTTTTGTCAAAGTTCATTGAGTTCAAGCTTTTAATTTAGCATAAAATTCATAAATGCTCATTTTGGTGGTATTTCGTGCTTAATGGTTGATGTGTTTTGTGTGTGCTTGCAGCCTGAGGTGATAGAAGGTGAAGAGTCAGATGAAGATGCCACACCCTTGGCTACGCCTGCCACAGCTGACAGCGGCGCCAGCAAGCACCGCCTTGCGGATGCCGATGCTGACTCAGACAGTGCAGAAGAAGCCGAAGTAGATGAAGACGTTCTTGCCAGTCGCAGGCAACGGTTGCGTGAATGTGCTATGAATAAAATACAGCAAGAAGAAGAAGTGCTAGGTAAGGAAGATGAGGGAAGTGAAGAGTCTTCAGAAGAAGATAGTTCTGAGTACTCAGAAGAGACTGACTCGGAGGCTGAAGGGCCCAGGATGCGGCCTGTATTTGTGCGCAAGAGAGATCGGCTCACCATCCAGCAGAAGGAAGCTGCTCAGCAGTCTACCAAACAGGTTTGTAAAACTCTTTGTTTATTTGCATGTCCACCTAAAGTGTTGCAAATCATTGCATCTGGCCCAATACATTTCAACTTTGGGTAATTGATGCACTACATTACTTATTTTGGGGGCAACTGAATTGAACTGATGGAATTTTATTTGCGTAATTTTTAATTAAATTCATAATCGCTTCTAATTTTATGAAGCACAATTTAAAACCGTTCTATTAAGATGGTTGCATAATGACCACCCATATGATTAATTGAGGCACGTGACATATCATTATTTAAATTAAGACACAGAAGTAATTACGTCTTATCCCCAACAAGAGATGCTATAAAATTCACGTTTATTTCACGAGAATAACGTCTTACGCATTGCACTACTACAACGTTTTTTTCAGTCTGAGTCGGAGCAGCGCCGTCGTGCCGAGGAACGTCGCCGCGAGATGCTGCGTCTCATCGAACAGGAGAACAGAGCAACAGCCCCACCGGCTGCGGGCGGCCTGGCCGACAGGGGCTCTGTGGGCCTGGTGGGCGTGGGTGCGGAGCTCAAGCACGACAACGTTACCACCAACGCCAAACTCGAGGACGTCAATACGGACGACGAGGCCGACGATGCCGAGTATGAGGCGTGGAAGCTGCGCGAGCTGCGGCGCCTCAAGAGAGATAAGGTCGCTATTCATATTGATTGCTCACGCAATCTACGGTATTTTAGAAATGTTCACGTGAAGGAAAAAAATGAATATTCTTTTGAAATTTAGAGATATTGCAGCTGTGGCCATACCATATTTCGATTGTGCCGTTTGGGACCAATTCCATCTAAATTCTACTTCATTGGAAGTCCGTGATTATTTATAGAATTAATTTTTTTTATCGTCCATCCAGCTCGTTTTCTGCTGCTTAAAAACTATTTCATATCGACCATCTTTCTAATATTTTGCGAATTTAAATAATAATTTGGAGGAGATTTTTAATGAGTTATCAAAATACTGAGCAGGTAGTCAATAAGAATCCGTGGAATAACCAAAGCACTGACATTTGTCAGTGCTTTGGTTATTAGAATTATTAAAAAATTAAATTATTTTAAAATAATTGACTTATCTTTGTGTTGTTGCCAGGAGGAGCAGGAGGCGCTTCAGAAGGAGCGCGAGGAGGTGGAGAAACTAAGGATCAACCCTAATCCGTCTGTCTGTCCGTCCGTGACTTCACGTTTTCGTCGACGAGAAAATATGCTCTGTCACTCACTGCAGTGAGTACTGAGTTATGTTTTTTTGCCCTCGTTTGGGTCTTCATGATGCAGCATAAGGCGGCATCTGTTTTGCTTGCAGAAAGCGTGTACTATTTGGAAAATTCTACTCGTTTGTATTATTTTTTTGAGTGATTAACCTCTGTTGTGTCTATCGTAAGCGGTGCCTGCCGCCTCATATGCAAATTCTTATGAGATAGCAACAGAGGAGTTCGGTGAGTTGTACAAACTGTGTCTGCTATCGCTGATAAATGAACCTTTTCTTGCTGGAATTATTTTTCTGAAACATTTTGAGAGTTTAATCGATTTATTGGTGTCATTGATGTGAATTTTCATCTAGAAATACATACAGTGCGTTGCATTTGTTTTCGCGGTGAGTTCGTTTTTAAGACTCCATGATTATACATATATTTTTTATTTCTAGTAAACATTTATTTAATTTTTGTTGTCACCATAACACAGACCATTCATGAGCAACTTTCTTCCTGATTTGTCAATGCGTGCAATTCATCTTACTTTATTGTTTGGCCCTCTCGTGGTCAGCGCACGTGCATTTCAAACTAAATTGCAAGTATTCTTGATATTTTTTCTTTCAACCGCGAGTCATTCTGCTAGTCTGGTATACATCATTGCCATAGTCATTCATGCAGTGCACTGACGCGGTTCACTGAAGAAATGAGCGTGATAGGAGAAACGCGTTAGCAGATTTATTATGAAATGAAATGGATAAAAGTTGCCTAGCATTTGGTGAAATTGTTCAGATAGCTTGTTAGTTGGCCATTTAATTGATATATAGACCACCAATGCGATTTTCCGTTTCAAGAATTAATTGTTAGTAATTTCGAACGATGATCATCTAGCTTTATCTTATGTCCGCATCTCAGGTGTTTTATTATTTTTAGTACTCTATTCGTTGTGCCATTATACCGCTAGCGTTCACCGATTGCAATTCCTCTTTGTGTTACGATACATCTAATTGCGTCACTTACATAACAATGCATTACCAGTTCTGTCTGATGATTGGGGCCGTACTATCAAAACTCGCTAATGTACACATTGCGCTGAAACTACACATAACAGCCAATTTATCATGATTTTTTATTCATTGTTGGGTTTTGCTTCAAAAGCCTCCAGTGATTGGCTGCAGGAGTTACGGACTCGTTGCTATTTTTTTTATGGTACGGCCCCTGATCTAGAATTTCCCTCCCTATTGGCAGGTTATCACGAACAAAGCAGCAAAGGGCAAGTACAAGTTCCTACAGAAGTACTACCATCGCGGTGCCTTCTTCCTCGACACTGAAGAAGAGGTCCTCAAGAGGGACTTCTCGGCCACCACTCTGGATGATCACTTTGATAAGAGCATCTTGCCTAAGGTGACAAAATTACGATGGGTTTATATACCATTTCGTCTCGAGATGTTTGACATTTATTTTCCATATTCTTTGTTATTTCTCTGTAACTAGATGGCATGACTTGCATTTTTTCGTATTAACGATATAGATTGAACAGGCTATCATGAAATTCTTCAATATTCAATATACATTTTTTCGTCGGATCTCATGTTTGCCTTGACATTTTGTCTAACAAATTTTGAGTTAGAATGATAGAACAATTTATTACTCCAATATGCTAATGATGAATACATTATTTTTAAGTTATATGTATTTATTCCTGAATTAGGTAGTTCGTCTCGTTATCTTGCCAGTGAATGACAAGCAAATGACCCTTGATTTTAGGAATATTCTTACCCCAAAATGACGAGGTCAAATATGACGAGGGTACCTGAGCCAAAACACAGCGGAGAAACTAAACTTAGCCCCCAAATAAACTCTGACAAATTATTTTTCAATTGGTGGCTGCTGCCTGTTCATGTTATTATTACTAAAATTATGATCATTCAATAGAGACTCCGATTTAAATCTCACATCCCGTTGTGCAGGTGATGCAAGTGAAGAACTTCGGTCGCTCGGGTCGCACCAAGTACACTCACCTGGTGGACCAAGACACCACGACCTTCGATTCGCCATGGGCCGCCGACACGCAAATCAACCACAAGTTCGCAGCCACCGCTGCAGGCGGCCTCAAGCAGATCGAATCCACCTCCAAGAAGCGTCCGTCCTCCATCAGTTCGTCCAGTTCCGTGCGAAAATAAACGCTCGTCAGGCAGACGTTTATTTCGTTTATGCAGAGCAAACAGTTGACGGTGTGAAAAATTACTCGAAAGATGCTCCCCGCGCCATCAGCTTCATGAAATTCACTGTAACTATTTGGTATTTGTGAGAAAAGGCTTTACCTATTTGCAGTTTAGTTTTTTAGCAATTGTGACTGCGTCAAGATCTTGCTGCTTGCTTAGACTACTGTCGCAGAATGTTGATAGGATTTCATTACTCACAGAATTTTTAACTTTAAATATTTTGTTTTAACGAAAATTTGAGTGTAATTTTAACGTGCTTTTGAACTAATTTTTCGAATGAACTTCCAAATTCTAATCAGATAAAATTTGATGCCGCAGAATAATCAATTTGATCACCGCTATGCTAGCTGTTATGTACAAAATGTGTGTTCAGAGCTTCTGCTACGCAGAATATCTGACGCACATCTGTAAATAAATAACGTTTAAGCTGTAAAACAGATTTTTTATGCGCTCCTGACATGTTTTTCTCCACGATATTCATCATTGAATTTCTCTCAATTTATTTACAATGAATTGACTCCAACAAGACCTATGACAAAACATACATATCATCCCTTCATCTTTTTTTCAAATTGGTGAGATTGTCAAAATACCTTTGATTTTGAACAAAATGTGTTGTGTTACTTGGCCTTCTTCATATTTGAAGCGTTAACAAATGTGAAATGTATCTCCATTGAATCGATTTTACTGTAAAAATGTAAATAACTTCGTGCGTGAGGTTGGAAGGCACATGATGTTGGGATACGTTTCGTACGAAGTCATTTTATGACCCGCAGCTGAAGGCTGGGCTAAGATCAATGCGGAAATAGGTAGCAGGAAGTAAAAGAATTCAATGTTTTAATTCTTTTCTCCTGTAATCAATTTGTCAGTCTGATTTGACTAGAAGATTATGTCTTGTACATTTTTGATGTGTATTTCTAATGAAGCTGTAAGGCAAGTGGTTTTGAAAATAAAGCTGGTTATGTTTTGAAAAATGCCTGTATAACTATTGGCGTGTAGAAACATCTTATTATTGATACTACAGCTAACAGCTTTGTGATATTAGCGTCTGTCGGACGATAAAGTCACAGCACTGAGCAGTATTCACACTCATTGCGATTATAACGTTGTAAAATTATGCACCCGGGCAGTCTAACTATGGTTAAGTAACTTTCAATAACGCTGCGACAAAATATGTAATTGCTACTACTGCGTTACATACGTAAGATGCTTAGCAGTTCATTTCTCTATCTCCTTGTGTGGGATGGGCCAGCGTCTCTTGCAAGCGACGTTACTGTCGAGTGGCGTCTTTTCAGGCGAAATCATCATTCATGCTATTAATATTATCTTTGTAGCTTCGTTTGCGCGAAAGCTGCATAGGTAATGCTAGCGATAGGTACGTTGGGCCATTCCACTGTTACTAGTTTTTAGCCCTATACCGCCGTATGTCACTCTCCGGGAACATAACTTTCAACTTAAATTATACGTAAACTATTGAGTGTAGCAACCTGAGGGCGTTCGTACGCAACAGAGAACATTTAAAAGTTGTACTTGGCGGTAACAATCAGTGCCAGTCATTTTGCTCTCACTAGAACGTATCCTTTGTGGGTAGGCTTGTGTGACAATATTGCTCCGGTTACTCATGTCAGGCGGTAGAGGGTCAAGAAGCTCAGAGAAAGTCTGAGACTGTAGGTTTGTGAATGCTTACGTTAGGACTGGATTCATTCGATTTTCGGTATTGTATTAAGGTCAAAGTACGGCATAATTTTTTCAATAATTTGAAAATAGCTCGAGCGTTGCTCCTTGAAATCTCGGTTGAAGTATTTTTATTTTATGTATTATGGTATTTTTCGTGTAATCTTTGACTTTTGTAAATTAATACCGCATCGTATAAATTTTATTTTTTTCCTTCTGGGACCTTAGCGAACGCCGCACATTTTCTTCCTTCTTTAGCAGATCATCGTTGCTCTGTGCCCCTCCGGCATTATTTCACCCCTCGACGCGGAACACCTGAAAAATAATATGTATTCATTATATAATTAATTGTCGGCATAAAATAATCTGAACAATAGAAGGAAAAAACTAAACTTAGAATGGATTCACTAAATTCACCCTAAAGCAAAGAACATTCGTGTGAAAAGTTGTGGAATTTTTTGTCGCATAGCTCCTCATGGAAGGAAGGTCCTCGTCACGGTGAGGCGAGGACCAAATCAAGCTTCGACATCATTTATTTTAGCCTAGAATATATTGCCACTTTTCTTTGGATTTTCTGTACAAGGAAGGCATGTGTAAACTTATCGCGTAAAAAGAATTGAAGATTTTCTTGTGCAACAACCGAGTAGACGACAAATCTCCCAACTGAAGTTCAGGTTCAAATTTAAAAGCTTGTGAATTTGAAGCTTGCGAAGAGTAGCAGTAGTAGTAAGGGAGGAGCAGAGGGTGGCAGTGAAGTGAGTGGCTGTGCTAATAACTCACAACCAGCTAACCACACTGCCAATCTCATGCTCCAGTTTGCTCCCACTGATGTTCTCTTAGAAGACACGTTCTTCTTGCCAGTCGGGACTTCGATAGGTGCCAGATGATCGCCTGCAATTTAAAATAGTTTTAGTTATACATGAACATAGAGCGGAAAGTTTGGTACATGCGTTATTGGAACGAATCACTGTGAATTATGGTGGTTTTGGAAAAATTCGGCGTTGACGACATTTCACTTTCAATGGATATTGCTGAATGATAGTTACTTCGTAATGCAATAATCTACTTCATTGACAGACAGTCCATTGTACCGAATGAAAAGACTCGTATTGAGCAGCTTACATGCTCACTCTCTGTTCTCGCACTTGACCTGTGAATGTGATTCCTGCAAATATAATTTTGAAATTTTACAGCGCCTTTATTTATGACTGTTGTTTTGAAGGGGATTTTTAACATCCGGCATCTTATATATTTTCCTTAAATCAAGATTTTAGCAGCTGACGTGCTGCTCTGCAGGCGTGCTGCCTAAGAAGGTTGACTTTTACCCTGACGAAAACTATACGGTACGGTCGTCACGAGAAATACGAGGTTTAGAGAGTCTCAACCAATGGATTTTTCATGGGACTCAATATTTTTATTATTATTATTATTTTGTATCGAGTTGAGAATTTTCTTTCATAGAATTGACTTAGAACCACGAAATATGATTGTATTTTGTCTGTGCTTCTCCAGTCTTCACGCTGTTTCATTGTTGACAACAACTTCTCCATGATGTTATTCGTATACTACTTTTTATATTTTGCAATGCCATATTAGGTACATTAATGGAACTTTAACTTTAATGCTATATTTGTATGGTCTCAAAACAGTGAGCAGACTAATACTGATCGTCACTTTGATAATAAATAAGTTTTCGTGAAATGCTGAAAGCATAGCAAAAGGTACATCGCGCAGTGGTGGATGTTTCTTTAAAGGCCGTTTTTCTTGAGAGCCGGTGTAGTCCTGCAAGAAACTACGTTATTCTTTGCCGTAAATTTACTGACGAGACCGAGTAACGTATCATGAAAAGTTGATCGCCTGATAAGTATTGCGAATTCGCATGTCACAGTATTATTTTCAAAGCCTCTCATGAGAAACCAAACGGCGTGGCTGCATTTTGCTATAGAACATGAGGCTCGTAACTCTGACCGTCGTAGCATGGGATTCAATAACAAATGAGAATCTGAGTTTAAATTGTTCGGTTCTGAGGGCATAATTATCGTTATCGTACGCTGTAAATCAGGTGAAAATGTCGCCTGTTGAACCGTATAGGTTAAAACGTGAAATAATTTTCGAAACGGTCCGAAACTTTTGTTTGTAGCTTTGAATGCAATTCACGCATCATGATCTGATCTATTAGTATATTTTTGTAACAATAATTAAAATGAATTCACTAATTTGAATTCAATAATAATAACGAATTCAATAATAATGGTGTGATTAATAATTTTGACGTTGTTTCTGTAATTTAAATCGCGATCTAAACTTTATAACAATGTAGATTATATCGCTATAATGAAGAATACGTTATTCGTGGACAAGACAAAGTTTGCAAATATTCAATCGAATATTTATGGTTTTTATGTGAGATTTATTTCAATATTTTCTGTCTGCTGCGCAGCGAGAAGCAATTTTTAGCTGCGACTGATTCAGAATAAAAGAATAGGGAAAACTACGCGAATTTTGAGTCAGGCTTAGAAAGAAAACGGTACGCAGGAACTTATCGCATTTAAAAGAATGCTAGAATCCATAATGTCTCAGAACTTCCTGATGCAGTCTTGAATGAGAGAAGTTGTCCCGTAGCATCGCAGGGCGGGGATTATACGCGCTGCCTAACTGGCTTCTGGTTCCATGAGTGATCCACGAAAAGTTTCAAATCAAACAAGAAACCTGCTTATTTTATTCGATATTGCTCTTGTTTACATTTAACCTCCCGTTTTGCTACGGAAAATTGGAATATTTACTCATTATTATCGTTTACAAAGCGACAATACTAGCAAAATCATCGCTTAGGATAGCTTTATTTTATGAATGAATGAGGGGAGACATTACCGAACTTAATTCGATTGATTAAAAAAAAGCAATACAAATGGTGAATTTGAAAAAAACAATGAACTCGTTTTTATAACCATAAGCACAAAATCGAGCTCGCTCAGATGAAGACAGGCGGAGAACTGAGAATACCGTCGTGAATTGTCAACAGTCGTTATAGAGCTGTTTCCATACGTTTAATTTCAGACGTTACGTATGTTGAATTCGAGGCGTCAAATGAACTGCTCGAAGTTATTGCCNGTATGTTGAATTCGAGGCGTCAAAGAACTGTTCTTAGTTATTGCCGGGTAATAATTTGACAGCAGTACGTCGACCTACCGATGATGATGGCTTCGGTGTCTGAATGACGATAATGGCCTACTTGTCTGACCGACTATGATGGCCTAGGAGTCGGACCGACGATGGGGGATTGGGATTATAACCGACGCTGATGGCTTACGAGTCTGAATGACGATGCTGGCCTATGTGTCCGACCAACTATTATGGCTTTGGAGTCGGACCGACGATGGTGGATAAGGAATATAACCGACGATGATGGCTTAGGAGTCTGACTGACTATGATGGCCTAGGACCTAAGTGTCGGACCGTATATGATGGCCTAGGAGTCTGACCGATGACGGTGGATTAGGATTACAACCGTCGATGATAGCTTAAGTGTCTGACCGATGATGATGATGTCTGGCCGACGAAGATGGCGCCTGGTGTACGTTTTGGAGGCTAGAGTCCTATGCAGTTGAAGTGCCGATCAAGGAGGCTGCTTCGTTAGTCCTGACGCTAACGCCGTTCGTCTGCAACTCCTACCTTGTGTGTTACAGCAGAATATAAACTTTGCAGTGACAGGTTTTAAAAAAATATCCGATGGTTCTCAAGTCTCACCCCATTATATTGCAGATTTATTTGTCATCATCAATGAGTTCATGGTAAACTTCATTAATACAACTAAACTTGTCAATTAAACCAATCAGCAATATTCCTGCAGATTAAACAACGACGGACAAACGCCTAAACGAAGAACAACAGCTGCTACACTGGATGAAGCAAATGAATTCAGTAATTTTGTGTACTGATAATTTATTAAAGAGTGACTGTCGTTTGACACATTTCATTCAATGTTATTACTTTTAATTGTGAACGGAATTTCGAAATTCGAATTCCACCGAAGATCGGACAATGATATGTATTAATGAAATACTGTGCAAAAATTGTTCTAATTTGCCTGAACACATATGATAATCATAATAGCTGTATAACAATTTTCAAAGAACATGAATTACCAACTGGACAATTCCCAGGGGCTTGTACAGAACGAGTCCTTCATCCCCTGAACAAATTATAATTTAGCCCATTCAATTAAGAGTCCAATACCTTGCCAATGCAAGTAGTAACTAGGGCCCTAGCGAGCTGCAAGTTAGACAGTTTAAGTTAAAAATGCAACTGCTGTACTGTGAGAAAGCTATCTACTGTTTGCCGCAGCGCTATCTGGCGCATTTAACCCAGGACATTTACCAACTAGTATCAGTGGCAAGGCGTTATCGTGCGTATCAGCGGACTGTTCCGCGGCCGCAAAACTTGCCGTGATCCAATTAAACACCAAGGAAATTCTAGTCATTCTCCTGCAATGCGATTATGCTTCGCGAAATTTGGTGGCGCAAATCATCAGTGAATCACTACTTAACTTAATCACTACTTAACAGTGAACTTAAAGGGTTATTCCATTGATGTTTATGTATGGCGATTTATAGGATAAGCGCTATTCTTTAGGATGAGTGTTTGTTCAAGATTCCGCAAAATTTTATTGCACCAGAGGAAACTATGCAGCTAGTTTTGCTTCCAGTCCTTCAGTACATATGTTCATCTACTACGTTATGGATTATGGAAATATTCACATTTATTCCATTTTTATAGATACTTTATTATCAAATCATAACGTGAATGGGGATCTATAAGAATGTAATAACGGAAATATCGCACCAAAAACCGGACATATGCAGCTAGAATAGTCATTTAACACGTTGGCAATTTGTAGAGGTTATTTATTTAATGTTAGAACCAGTTTGAAATTATATTCTATGAAAAGTACATTGCTTTTCCTTCAAAATGAAGGCATTTCAATGCGATCCCAAATTTTTGAAAATAATTTGAATGGTAGAGTGCATTCTAATGAAAACTTTTTGAAGACCAGCTTCGCCTCGAAAGTTTTTACTTAAATACATAAAACTTTTTATCTTTTCTTTGCCATCATATTTCCATCAATCTTCCTTTACTACTCTACGAGAGACTCCGTAAAAATCGAAAAACCTGGATGATAAATCCACTTTTAGTTTGCATTCCATATAAATTTTCTAACACAAGTTAAATTAGCTACCAATTTAGCAAATATTAAGTTTTCTGCAAAGTAACCGATGTTGTCTACCAATTTCGTAGCAGGTACTTCGTTCAGAAAC